TGTTGAAATGCAGGATCCTCTACAGAGATTTAAAAATGTCCCAGTAAGGGGCTCCAGAATTAATCTTGTGCTGTAACTCTGTCCACACAGCTCCACAAGAATGTCCTTCATGCAACTCAGTGTGTTTTGCCAGTGAGTTATTTGCTAACTTAATTCACTCACAGAGGTAATGAAGGCAAAGGTGCTTCATCTTCCAGCTTGTCAAGTTCTTTTATGTCTGGTTTAATGAGAGCTCTTCTCACTAAGAAAAAATGTATGAATATTAGAAGAAAATTCATATTCAATATTCATATATTCATATTCCATATTCAATAGTCACTGTACCTCCTTGAACCAAGCACATAGTAGGATGAAAAAGTAATTGTGTCACCCTAGTCTACAAAACACATTCTCCCAAAGGTAACTCAAGATCAACAGATTCTGCTAAATGTTAATACAGATTCAGGTACCTTAACTCCAATTCTGGCTCCTGTTCCTGAAGGTTTTCAGATGGGTTTGTGTTTAAATAATTAAATGCTTATGCAGTTTTTTTGCTGAGGGGATGGTCAGCCACAGGAGCAGGCTCCCCAGGGAAGCAGTCATGGCACCAGTCCTGCCAGAGTGCAAGGAGCATCTGGACAGTGCTCTCAGTTGTATGGCTGAGGTTTAGATAGCCCTGCAAAGAGCAAGGAGTTGGACTCTAATCCTTACGGACCCTTTCAATTTGATATATTCTATGATTGCAAGAATTTATGACAACTTTGTTACATAATTACATAATTATAGTAGGATTCTATAATTATGCCACTGATGATATTATAAGGAAGGTAGTCCAATGTTAAATTGTTTATTTTTTAATCTATATTCTTTAAAAGATCAGCCATTCACTAAAATATTAACAAAACTGGGCTCAATTTCGATTCTAGTTACTACAAATGTAAATAAATTAACACATTATTTCAAGGGAAAACACTTTTGAAATTCCAGTTCGTGACATTTTTTAAAAGGTTTTAAAATCTAAGTGACTTGTATGAGAGACATCTGAAAACAGTAATTATCTTTGCAGATTTTTATTGTGAACTTCCTCATTCAACAAAAACACCATGAGAAAATTCATGAATGTGTTTGTGAATAACTGCTTTAAAAAGCTTCTGTTCCTGAAGAGGGAGAGAGAATTATTAGTACATTAAAATTTTCATTTCTTTAACAGTAAACAGCAACACATTCTTGCTTCAAATTAACTAAATAGGTTAAAGACATAATGAAATAACATTATCAGCAATCAACCTTTTGGACATGAGGTCTGCAGCTGTCTTTGCTTGAACTGTACTTTCAGCTGGTTAACTACTCACTGGTTCAAATAAAACAACCAAATTTTGCCTTAAATATTTTGGCCAGCCAACACACATTTGACGAGGCAAGAAAAGCTAAATCAGTAGTTAATTACAAAGATCCTGCCTGGCTGAAAGAACAAACCAGAAAAAATATTTTCAGCAGGAGAATACAGAGCTTAAAATATATATATTAATATTAATATAAGTGCTGAGTAATTTGAAGTACTCACACACACATCTTTGCATGCTCGTTTCATAATCTTTCACTACCTCCTTTAACAGCTCTTCAGTGAGCAGCTCTCTCTCTCTGCCCTCCATAAGCGACTGTGGCACCATGGCGAGCATGGACCTCAGCCACTGCTGCTGGATGGGAATCACTGGATTACTCTGCACACATTTCTTCAAAAAGAGGTAGCCTGCCTGAAAGGACAAAATTTTCAGAGGTCTAATAACTACCTATGTATGTATTTTTGTGTCAGGCTTGCCAAAAGTCTCTTTTTATTCACAATTTCTTAATTTCCTTAGGGCAGGGTATTCAATCTAATATTTTCAGAATTCACTGACTAATACCCTAAAAGCTGCTCTGTGGTTGGTAACATGGTATCTCTGTCTTAATGTTTAAATATAAAATACTGTACTTGTCAGTATAGCATTTTCCTTGGTTCTCTGCTGAAGTTTATGGCTAGCAATAAAATAGTTAAAGGTGAAGGTTATTGCTCTTTGGACAAACATTTATCTGGGAAAAAGTGTGGACAAACATAAGGGGACTGGGTCCTGGCCAAAAAAAAATAAGTATTTCTGCTTTTGATTGATAGTTTTATTATAAAATCTCTGCATTCTACAGAATGTGCATACCTAACAACAGCTACACAAAATTGGTGTTACCTTAGGTTACTTAATATAAATATTTCAATACTAGTTTAAATTTCAACTGGCCCTCAGAGATGAAGTCTTACCTTAAAAGCTATACACAAATTTGAAGTTTAGTGCATGTTCTTCAAATTGTCAAAGACTACTTTTTGTACAGGCTAAGATCTAATCTATGACCTCAACTGAAAAAGTCCTGAAGCCTGTTAGGTTTTTTCCTAAGTAATGATCTTTAACTAAGGTTAAATTAATTATCGATAGACATACTCTCTAAAACAGAAAGTTTTAGACCTCTACAGGACCACAAAACAAGGCTCCTATTTTGGTATTATTCCATTTCCCCCCACCAAGACTACTTTTTCTTGTTTAATAACAATAATTCTGCGTAACATACTCAACTTCTCTGAATAGGGGCCATTCACTCTCCTACTCCAAAAAAAGCAAATGAAAGAATTTAACTCACTCTTTTTTGGCTTTCTTCATCATGCATCTGCATAAAAAGAAATGGAACATTGTTATATATGAAGAACATACAAACAAAAATACTGGAAATACAAAATTTAGCAAATATTATTCCTAAAGACTTTATTTTGTAGATATACAGGCATACATTTCAGTTGGATTACCTGAGTATATAAATACATTTATGAATTACTGAGGAGCAAAACGAGTATCTTGAAGTAAATTCTAAGAAGGAAAATAAATGTCCCAATAACAAAGAACTTAGTAGGCAAGACTTAATAAAGAAATACTTTCTCACAGTGGAACGCAGTTCTGTGATAGGAGGTGCAGCATCTCTGTCATCTGTCTCTTCCATGGTTATGTAATAGACTTCAAGAGCTCGATCAATTCTAAAGTAAACCACAGCATCAGAAGTGCAGAAAAACTACAAATAATATAGTAAAAATAATGCTGACACTTTAATTGATGCAACCTATTTTTTCATCATTACCAACCCCTTTATCACTAAATCTCACGATAATTATATTAAACAAACATCGTTATTTGTCACATATCAAATGTGTAATGTCTCTTTCATGTGAATTTCAACATGTCTTGAATTACATGAAACTCACAGTAACTGATTAATGATCTCTTGCTGCTTCTTGCCTCTGTGGTATGCCAATAGTTTCTTCTGTGATGGTGATGTTTCAGATATGACTGGTGGAGGTAAAGCAGCGGGACGAAACAAAGTTCTCAAAGTCCGTTTACTGGAAGTTGCTTCATCTGAGTGCTCCATCTAAAACCACAACAAAACCAAAATTCTAGAATACAATCCCCTCCACAAAGGAATTTAACACATGCATCTATTAAGTTGAATGGACATAAGGCTTAAAATGCGGCCACCTCAGTTTAGGTATGACAGTTTATGTATGACAGTTGAGCTTTCAAAGAAGAGAACAGTTTATATGATCGAATGGCAAAGTTCAAAGGGAGAGCATGTACATACAGAGCCTGCCATAAGGAAAAAAAAAGGAAGAAAGAAAAAAAAGTCAATAAATTTGTGTTCTGCGACTGGGCTAAGGCTCAACTAAAAGACATCTCTTCTATGGCTGCTTAATCGCCTCAGTAGGGCTATTCCAAAGTCTGATGGTCGGGTTCCCCTGGAAACATGATGCACAAACTCACCACTGCATTTCAACAGCTTCCCACAGGGGAGCAGAAAGTCAAAGCTATCTCCTAAATCAGTGGCACGTCCTAAAAACCAAACCGGGCGGTGGTGAATGCACCAAAGAACACAAAGCTCAGCTAGGGCCGGCCGGGACAACACCGCCTTCACCCGGCGCCCCCTCAGCCCCGCCGCTCTCACCTCACCCCGCGCCGCGGGCCCAGCTCGGGACAACTGCGCGGTTACCCTGGAGCAGAGGGCGGGGCTCTCCCGGGCCTCAAGAGAAAAAAAAGAAAGAAAAAGAAAAAGAAAAAGAGAAAAAGAAAAAAGAAAAAGAAAGCCTTACCTTTACCGTCCCGGTCTACCACAGAGTTAGTACAACCCGAGCGAGTCAGAAAGTCCCTCTGCTCCAGCCTCTGCCTGCACCAAGCACATCGCAGCAAGAATGCGTGAGAAATTATAAATGTAATATCCTCAAGCTTCAGATGGCTGTTGCTGGGCTTCTGCTTTTTGTACAACTATAAATGGAAATTTTAAGGAACTCAACAGATTTGCTACACACGTGCCCACACTTGATAAAAGAGGCTTTAAAACCTTAATTTTGTGTCTCTGTGGGCAGAGCCCCACGCAAAGAAGCTGCGGGAGCAGCGTAAGGGAATTTTTGTATTTTCCAAAGTCCTGGGCACTTTCCTAGCGTGGCTTTCACTGCCCGTGACTATTCAGTGTGAGGTCTCAACCCACACATGAAATGTTTTCTCACGAACAGAACACAAATCCTTGACGTTAAAGGATTTATCAATCGGCCGTTAGCGTCGGGGCGTTACGAGGGAGACCCACGCGCGCCTCGCACACCAGTCGGCCAGGCAGCTGCGCTGAGGAGAGGGGGATTCGCTGCTGAGGGAACAGAACCCGCTGTTTCTCAGTGGGCCTGACTCACGCCGTGCCAGAGGGTTAACGGCGGGGCGAGAGGCGAGGGGCGCGGGCACCGGAGCAAGGGCACAGCCCGGAGGGCACACCGGGCACCAGGAGGGGGCGCTGCCTCACGGCCAGCGGCGCGCGTGCCCGCCCCCTCCCCGCCTCCCGCGCGGCCCCGCCCCTTGGCGCGCGCGCGCTGACGGCTGCGGAAGCCCCGCCCGTTGCCCCGCCCCCGTCGCGCGCGCGGTGACGGCGCAGCCCCGCCCCGCCCGGCGGTTCCGGCCGCGCCCCGCGGAAGCCGCAGCGCCGCTGGGTCCATGTGGCGTCGGCTCCGCTCCGCCCTCCAGAGCCTCCGCGGCTCCCCCGCCGCACCTCCGCACGGCGGTGGCGACCGCCCGCCCGCCGCCATGGAGCGCGCCGTGGTGCGCTGCGTGCCGTCCGAGCCCAAGCTGAGCCTGCGGTTCGTGCTGCCCGACGGCAGCGCTCGGCACATGCAGCGCGACCAGGCGGAGCCGCTGGGACGGGCGCTGGCGCGCATCGCCACCAACGCCGCTAAGAGCCACGGCAAGGCGGGCAAGAAGAGCAAGAAGGCGCGGGCGGAGGGCGATGCGGAGGGCGAGGCGGCGGTGCCGGCCGTGCGGCTGTTCTCCCGCGACGGCGCGGCGGTGGCGGAGGAGGTGCCGAACGCGGCTGCCTGGCAGGACGGCGCCGTGCTGCACATCGGGGACGCGCGGTACCGCGTGGAGCGCAACCCGCCCGCGCTCACCGAGCTCCGCCTGCCGCGCTCGCTCCTCGCCGGCTTCCCCGTATGCCCCAAGGTGAGCGCCGAGTTCGCCGCTCCGCAGCACTGCCTGTTCCGCTGGTTCCGCGAGCAGCGCCCCGCGGGCGCCGGGGAGGAGGCCGGGGAGGCCTGGGTGGAGACGGCGGCGGCCGAGCGCGTGTTCACGCCGTCGAACGCGCTGGTGGGGCTGCGGCTGAAGTTGCGCTGCACGCCCGGGGACGGGGAGCAGCGCTACGGCCCGGCCTGCGAGGTGGAAAGCAGCGGCCCCGTGGAGGCCGGGCCCGGCGCCTGCACCTTCGACTCCCGGCACCTCTACACCAAGAAGGTTTGCGGCCACGGCTCCGTCCGCGCCGTCTCCTACAACATCCTGGCCGACACCTACGCGCAGACCGAGTTCTCCCGCACCGTGCTGTACCCCTACTGCGCTCCCTACGCCCTGGAGATCGACTACAGACAGAACCTGCTCAAGAAGGAGCTGGCGGGCTACAGCGCCGACCTCATCTGCTTGCAAGAGGTGGATAAATCTGTCTTCCTGGACAGCTTGGCCCCGGCGCTCGATGCTTTTGGACTGGAGGGGCTGTTCAGGATTAAGGAGAAGCAGCACGAAGGCCTCGCCACTTTCTATCGCAGGGACAAGTTCAGTCTCCTCAGCCAGCACGATATCACTTTCAGCGAAGCGCTGCTCTCAGAGCCGCTGCACAAGGAGCTGTGTGAGCAGCTGGCCAAGTACCCCGTGGTGCAGGAGAAGGTGCTGCAGAGATCATCTGTGCTGCAGGTACCAGCTTTGATATGCCTTCTTCTCTTTCCCCTCTTTTTTTCCCCCTTTCTCCTTCTCCTCCCAGTGTCTCCAGGTGCAGCCGGGCCAGCTGTTGTTGAGCCTCAAGCAGCAGAAGGGAGGTGAGGGATTAAGAGTTTGAAACATGGAACTGTGTTCTCTGTTAGCTGGGGTAATGGATAGAGCAGAAGATAAACTTAGAAACAAGAACAAAACATTGAGGTCTCATTGAACTGCATATACGGAATTACCAAAATTTGGTTTAAAAAAGGCAGTATTATTTTGCTTTAAAATGAAGACAGCTGTTGAGATTCTGAGCCAGGTTGTGATTCCTGGCTGGTGGTATTGGCAGCCAACTTTTCACTACTTTTATATGTCAGAATATATTTTATAAAACTTAGATTTATAAATCAGTTTTAAGTAAGTTGGTTGAGTATGCTTTATAATGAGGTTGGACAGCTGTGTGAGCTTCCTGATGGCAGAGTCTGGCCATGGAGCTGTTGTGCAAGTACAAGTGTGTAAGATCGAAGGCTGTGTCAGGAATTGCAGAAACACTGGTAAAACTTTCCTGTTCATGAACTGAGTAGGACTAGCAGGATTTCCTTCATAACTGAAATCACCTCCAAATTTGTGTTCAATTTAACAATTATGGAATGCTACATTTGCTTGCTAAAAACAGAGATGCAGCTCTAGCTCTATTGCAGAGAGTGAATAGAAAGTAAAAGTATTTCGGAGTCGTACAGCTTGAACTGTATCTTGTGATAAAATATGGCCAAACCAGACACAGTCAGAAGAATGTTTTTAAATGATGTAGTAGTAATATTTTGGCTGATACCCAGACCTTCTAAGGAAGATGAATGAAAAGTACAGCTTCTAAATTGAGTTTATTGGTTATAAGCATCAGATTGTTTGAACTGGATTGCCACAAAGGCATAAGCTGAATAGTGCATTTAAAAATATATAATCTCTCTATTTTAAGACTTAACAAAGGCTGCTTTTTCTCTTAAAGGTTTCGGTACTTCAGTCTACAACTGATCCTTCGAGGCAGCTTTGTGTAGCAAATACCCACCTATACTGGCACCCCAAAGGTAATTTTGGCACATTCCTGCATGTAGGAAAACTGGGTTTGGAAAGGTTTTTCCTCTTCCTTGGGAGAACAGATTTCCCACCATTCTTTTGCAGCTATAGCCTTTTCTTCTGGAACTGCGGATTTCCTGCCTTACTTCTTATCTAGATGAAATCAAGCCAGACTCCTAGGTCCATTTATATATTTATTTTTCTAGTGTGCCTGGGAGTCGGTAGAATCCAGCTGAAAGCAAGGCAAGTCACATAACACACAATTCACCCAAAAGCAGACATAGAATAGAGAGAGCTTTGTCTCTGCTTACTCTTTCCCTGGCCTGTTGAACATGGAGCTCTCCCAGGGTACTGCCAGGAGGGCAACCAGATTGGGCTCCAGAAACTGTGAGGAGAGATTCTTCTCAGTTAGTTTTCTTTTGGTTCTGTGCCTTTTGGGGAATATTACTAGGATGGTTGCCATGAGATGGAAAACTGCTGTATATGGGTGTTAAAGCTTCAGAGTTCTTGCATGGATGTGTTTAACTTCAAATTGTCTGTCACTCAAAAACTTTCATAGTCACAAACTTTAAAGTCTTCTTAATTCGTGAAAACTATTCTAAAATTCAGAATTGCTGTTTCAGAGCTATATATGCTTAAATGAGTAACCTTGTTTTGCATTATTTAAAATAATGCCTTTTTATGTCCTTAGGTGGGAACATCCGTCTGATCCAAATCGCTGTAGCCATGTCTCACATCAAGCACGTAGCCTGTGACTTGTATCCCAGTATCCCAGTCATATTCTGTGGAGATTTTAACAGCACACCCTCATCAGGAACTTACAGTTTCATCAGCAGTGGTGGCATTGCTGAAGATCATGAAGACTGGGTCTCAAATGGGGAGGAAGAAAGGTGCAGTATGTCTCTAAGCCATCCTTTCAAACTGCTAAGTGCTTGTGGAGAACCTGCTTATACAAACTATGTCGGTGGGTTTCATGGATGTCTGGACTACATTTTCATTGACAGAAATGCTCTAGAGGTTGAACAAGTTATCCCATTGCCAAGTCATGAAGAAATAACAACCCATCAGGCTTTGCCAAGTGTTTCACATCCTTCTGATCATATAGCACTAATATGTGACTTGAAGTGGAAATAGAGTAGCTCTGGGATGGTGCTTTTGGAGGTTTTCAAACAAGAAATTTAATTTAATGTACTGCTGGGGAACTGAGGTTACACTCTGTAAAGGGTACTAAAAGGAAAGCCAAAATTACTAAGAGTTCATGTGTTTAATGGCTTTACTGAATATTGTCACAAACACAGAATATTTGCATGACAATTTCCCCCTTTTTTATATGCTAATGGGAAAAAATATATTGAAGACAGGGTTTTGAAAACTGGATTATCATATACCTTTTTAGTGGTGTTTTTAAAGGATTAAGAATTATTTTGTTTAAAAAAAAAATGGGAATTTAAACTGATTTCGAAGACTGTACAAATTGAACCCTGCTTAATTCAGAAATAAGCACAGCACCCAAACCCAAATGGATTTAGCTGACTCCACTTTAATTAATATAATGATAATTAAAGTTCATGAATTGTCTTGTTCACTTACCATTACTATGGCACAACTTCTAGTAAGTTGTATGAACAATGTACTTTTACCTACCAACTTCTGAAAATATGTTCTTAATTATCAGTGAATAGACTTTCTGTCAGTAATCAACCATTTTAAATTCAAGGCTATAATTGATTTGGAAACAATCTGTCTGCCCACATAAGATGGGTAACAAGGATAATGTTAACACCTTGTGAAATTGTACTACATGAAGAAACAGTATCTACTTTGAACATATGCTCCTTTGGTTTGAGTCATCAGCAATAAAAAATACAGCTTTGAATGGGAGGGATATTTATCAATATCATCTGTTTTCAGGTGGGGAGAGATACAGAACAGTGTGGTGCATAGTTATCTGTGCCTAAATCTTTACAAAGACAGGTGACTTGCAAACCTTTATCATAATGGTTATATTTTGTTCCTCTCTTGCATACAAAGACAGCCTGAATTTTTAAGCTTTTTTACGTACATTTTTTCTTTGTAGAAATAGCCTAGTTTGCCCTATTTTGTAGGATGCAGGGTAGTGTATTTTACCCATACCCACACTGAATGTGTTGGAGTGGGTTGAATCATTTAACAAGCTTCTTGCCCTGCATCATTAGTCCATAAGAAAGAAAAAGCATTTGGAAACCATTCATTAGATCATCCTCTTTCACCTAATAAAACTCCCTATATCAATTGTCTGTCACTGTTGTCAGTTTGAGGTTTTTTTCTAGTTACTGGTGTCTTTCATGGCAGTGTAGGTCTGCCTGGGTTGATAAAAGCTGTGTACTCTACACCTGCTCACCTCCCCTACATTCTGGTGCTCTGTAGCTGGGATTCACTCAACTGTTTAAACACTACTCAAACCAGGAAGTCACTTCCAGGTGGGACATTTCTGAGGGTTGCTGGTGCTGTCTCTTGCCATAGTACTTGCCATGTTGTGAAGGGTGGTGGTGTGCAGAAGTTTCTAAATATCTGTTCTTTTCTGTTATTTCCAATACAATTACTACTGTGTTTTGCTGCTGTAGTGTTTGGGGATCTAACATGATGCTGGTAGCTGCAGTAGCAAAGCCCTCAAGGCAGGTTTACCTTCAGAGATCCTACAAGGCTAAAAAGATACAGGCCTATAAATCTCCAAACATGTCTCAAACAGCATCATATGAGAAGACAAATCTCATGAACCATCCAGTATTTCATTACCAACTCTGCCCACAGATAAAGGGAAATGGACAAATTCCATTCCTGAGTCGGTAGAGGCCTGTGTTGCTAAAGAGCTCATGTACATGTCCTTTGAAAGCAGCTTCTTTGCAGCAAAATAAGCAGTTAACCTTCCCAAACTCCTCTTACCTGATCTGCTCTACCTCCTGTGAATTGTCTCCTTGTTCCTGCTCATGCCACATCAAACTAAACCAGGGATATGATCCTGTTAAAAATACAGGGCCTTTAGTTCTCTTGCTTGTATTATCATTTTCGTGGATCTCTATGTCCTGAACTTAGTCACCTTAAAGCTATTTGTGCCCGAAGAACAGATACAGGCTTGGAGATGGGTAGAAAGAGGTGATGAAAGCTTGAAGCAGGCCCTTAACCTGCTCTACCAGATCCACCACAAAACATAATACAAGACCTCAATAAAATGGTGCTCATTTTTCCAACAGCTTTGCCAGGCTATATGTAAACCCTCAGATTTCTGGTTTTGTTAAGTCAGCACTTTAGCTAAGCCCCTTTGGTACAAAGGGGAAGCAAAATGCAATGTGGCTATAAAAGTGGCAATGAAAGACCCTGCACTAATGATGGACTCTCCCTGAAAAACTGGACCCTAAATAATTTGGGTCGATCTTTGATCAGTTTTTTTAGAAGTCTAATTAAAAAATAACATGTAATTCAGTCTTGCATGAGTTGATGTTTGTACTCTCCTAGACTGCAAAATTTATAATAAAAGTATCGCTGATTCATAACTTCAAGATACAGGTGTGAGGAGAAAATCTTGCAAACAGAATGAAAGCTGTAAATCCCTTATCTGGGCAAGTAATTTTTACTAATTTAGTAAATGAGGAAACATACCTGAAGATGTAACATTTGCAAGCATATGGCATCCTAAAGGGCAGAAAAACTAATTGGAAGATCAGTTCAAGAAAAAAATTCAGTACCAATAGCAGGGACAACACTGAAAATGAGTGCATTACAGCTGAATCAGAAATACAGAGGTCTACAACTTGCCAGCTCTGAAAAAAAAATGAGGGGAAAAAAGCCTCCACTGAGTAATGCAGGCTTGTGGGCTGGCAAGGGAAATGTCTCATTCACTTGGAACAGTAAGATTGCATTTGTGAAGTTTGGACGTGAAATTGCATTACTTATAAAGGCTAACTGAACTCTCCTTATAATACGAAAGAACATTCTTTTCCTCATTTTTAATTACTGATCCATTGCAACTGGGTTACTTTGTCTTTTCTAAACCCAAAACATTAAAAATCTGTAACTTGCCCCTAGAACCAGAAGATGGAGCTGCTAAGAGAACAGACTTGCCTGGTGCTCTGCCTTCCTTCCCAGAAACAGCAGCTCCCTCCTGCTTGCTATGCTGGCACTTGGGCTGCTGCCTCTGTCTCCCTGCAGACCGGGGAGAGGGGGCACACAGGGCAGTTGCAATCTGCAGGAAGCAAGTGGCGAGGACAAACACAGCACTGGAACACGCCCTTGCACATGGCAGATAATCCTTTACTATGTTCAGGAGAAATTCAGCCCCGGGAACTGATGGAATCTCCAGACTCAGTATCCTCCATTATTAGGAAACTGCAGCAGCAGAGGCTGACTGCCAATAGCAGCAATGTGTCAGGAACCTGTAGCGTGTGTGTGGAATGAGAATGCAGCACTAGGGTCTAGATTAGGAAAGGCACAGTTCAAAAAACCTGAGCTTTTTGGAGTAAGAGAACCCTTAGGTATACCTTTGGCCCAGAGCCCCCACGCTCCCAAGCTGTATTTACATCTGTGTAATGTAACAGATGGTGCTTCCTACTGCACATATGTTGATTCTTAGCTCCCATTTTGGTTCCCCCTACATCTCTGGACCTTGCCCAGCAATTAAGTCTTCCTCTCTAAATCTCATCCAGAACCTACATTTGTACAAATCCCATTCAACTTGTCTCCATTTCATTTCATAAACCTAAACTCACCTGTACTTGTTCCTCATCCAGCAACTGGAAAGCTCCATGCCCTTCACAACAAAAAACTAGGTAGAATTTTCTTTGCATCTTTGTAAATGTGTGGGGGATTTCTTTGTTTTTGTTACTCTGCTTTCCCAGACCACCTATTAAGGAAAACCTCTTTGCCTTCTACTTGAATTTTCCATCTCTGATTCATTAAACTTAAGAAATGCTGCCTCGTGCCTGGCTGCTGTCTCAGGAGGGAGAAGTTTCTTCTTTGACAGTGGCTCCTGCTGTGGACAAACTCATCACTCACAAGAACATTACACAACTAAGGGCACTCCACACACTCACCTTCTGGAGGCAGCACACTTGGTTCATTTTTAAGCTCTGGGTATTGTGAAATGTTTACCTGTGTATTTGATACGTACAGAATCAACGAAGTTCTGCCAGATCCTTTCAAACTGGTCTGGCAACTTGGAACTCCTATTATTCCTCCCCCTGACCATATCTGCTCCAAACAAAGGGGTCTGTTCTCCTCCTGTGAATTCTTGCACATCTCTTGTACCATTGCTATTTTTGAAAGGTAAAATTCAAACATTAAGTAAAGTACCTCTGTGTGATCATAAAGCAGGCAAGGATGCCAAATATGATTGAGAGAAGGACGAAGAAAAGGGAGGAGAAGACTAGTATGAAAAAACCAAGGGGAAAAATTCCCAGTGTGCTAAGGCATCAGAGCTTTCAACATGTCAAATGAATTGTGTAGTTGACTTGTTTCTAATATTCTTGGCATAGAAAGAAAATTGTTTCAAGTCTTCTGACTCCTACCCAGTAAGAGAAAAGGCCTTAAACATTTCAGTTTTGGCAGCCCAGCTTTATTCATAAATCCAATGGCAGCATATGGAATGTAATTTCTTAAGTCCCCATTCTTGACAAGGGTGGGAAAGACCTTTGGTGATGTGCAAAGTTTCATCACACTGCACTCAAACTGCCTTTGTCCAGACCTTTATAGAAGGATTTCTTAGACTAAAAAGGGACTAATAACTGGGCTCTGAAACGAATGTTTTACACAATCTGGGCTATTCTTGTAAGCAATGAAAAAAAATTAAAATCATGCATGTACTTGATATTTGAGAAATAAATTGTGTCTCCATGGTCAAATAAAAGAAAACCCGCTCATCTTCACTATTTTGCTCTCTATAGTTAAGCTGGCCATCTGACACACTGAAATAAAGCCTCCTGTACACAAATATCACTTGACTAACTCCCCAGTGCAGTAGAACTTAGCCATTTGTTTGAATATATAAGGTAATGTATACAAAGAGAAATTTCAGCTACTGGAACTCAGGATCTCCTGTCACTATAGTGAACGAGGAACACATTTTTAGTAGTCTCATGCCTGTTCAAGATTTTGAACTTCAGGGACAGCAGCTCAGTTCAGGTGTTCGACTTCTGATAGGGAAATGACAAACCACGTTAGTACCTAAACTCTTAACAGACATGAGAAAATTTGATGTTCATGGGAATTTCATCTTCCTTTGAAGAACAGGGCTGTAATGGTACGTTGTTACTGATATACAGCATTAACTTTGTCTTACCACATGTCAGTGCAAGCTGTAGCCTTAACCCTCCTGCAGACTCCATCACTCTTAAATGAGGCTCAAGATCGTCATTACTTTCTGACTTAGAGAAATTATTCATTTTATAGAATTATAGAATTACATCTACTGATACAAAAACCCAAACATGGTGACTCTGAAATATCAGCTTTATATACACATGCTGCAACTGAAAAGCATAGTG